GTAACTGAAAATTAATTGTGAGGAATATTCTTAGAGACTCATGACAGTGTTTATAGTATACATTTGTAAGCCTCAGTTTATCTTTTTAAGCTTTTTGGAGTATGGGAGATCATGTAATATCTCAATGGCCATAGAGAAAGAAAAGAGAATATTGGAAAATGCATTAGTTAATGATATTAAAGTGCATGCAAGAAATTTTTAAAGCCACCACTTTAAGTATTATCAAATAATGTGTAGTTACGGAATTAAAGAGTATGAATTTTTTTGGAGATTTTTCTTTGCCATAAATGAAAATGATGAATCTTTGAATTGAGAGAACAAAATACACTATTTACTGTCTGAATTAACAAATATGGTAAGGAACCAATCAATAAAAGACCCATGTTATAGGTTGATACATAAAAGTAATAGTGAACACAAGTATAAAAAAATCATGTACTCTGTGAAATTTTATAGATGTGTAAACACAGAAGTTGATGAATAGGGAAAATGACTTGTTTTCCCTAGATGCTGACTACTGTTATTTTAGAATCATGATTAAGAATACTGTGCAATTCTTACATGTCAATTAAAAACTGAAAAAGAAGTGCCCTTAATTGTCATTCTGTGCATGCCTTTTTTTTAGGAAAAAAAAAAAAGCATTGCTTAAGAGATGTCATACCAAAGTGAAATTATCATTTTTTTCAGTAGCTGTCCTTCAACATTTAATTGACGTATTAATACTAGCCCTATTCAGCAAATCATCTCATTAAATTACCTAGGGGAACATTTTGCCACTAGATTATCTAAAATATTCCCTAGGCATTTTGATTCTGTAAATTAGGCACTCTACAAATGCATAATTGAGATTGTGGTACCTAAGGGAATATTTAGTAACACCCACTTTAATTTTTGCTATTCCCTAGGAATAGCAAGAATGTGATTAAAATGCCTCCTTTTCTTAATATACTGAATGGAAAAGGAAATTAATTTATATTGGGGAAATATTAAAATTCCTTTTGGTTCCTCCAACTAGCAGTCCAACTGTCTAAAATGATGGGGAGGCTATTTAATTTATTGTTAAGAGTGTTGACAAGTTTTAATGACTGTTAATTCAAAAGAGGTGCTGTATTTTTGTAAGTCAGGAAGTTTCACATCAAAGCTCAATTCTCAGAAATGATCTTTTTCTTTGAGGATTAGAAGTTTCTTTTCCTGCACTCCATTTCCAGAAATTATATTTTGGAGGATTACTCAACGGACGTGAATCAATCCATTGTTCAAGAATAAATTTTAGTCACTGATTTATTTTCTGACCCTTTCACCCAAATCTCCACTTAGAGCCAAAGCAAAATTAAATTCCATGGATTTCCGCAAAAATTACACCAAACATTTTGTAGTTACCCAGAATGTACCAAGTGATTAGGGTAACGCCAGAACAGCAGAAACATGTAAGACGCTCCTGGCTTGTGTGCTCTATGCCCTTTTGTAAGCTTTCAGTTTCCCTGTTCCTGATCCTCTCCTTTCTGTTTATGTGTTTACACAGTGCATAACATATAAAGTATGTTATACGTACATGGGCATATGATCAACATGTAACCTGTGAAATTTATACATAAGTTTTTGTTTATGAATATATATTTATATAAAATCATATAAAATTGTTTTTGAGCAGACATGTTTTTAGGCTTTAGTTTTGTCCTGAACACCTATGAAGTAATTTAAAGTTATGTCAATTAATTAACCTACATTGTTTTTTGTCTACCAGTGGTTATGCATCTGTATGAGGTTTAATGTGGTTGTGTTTACTTTGAGATCTGAAGTTCACTGAGGGATTCATATCTTCCTTTCATTAATGCATTTAGGACAAATAAAAAACAAAATGATACTAGGGTTTACTATTTCCATTATCAATGGTACCATTGTTCAGAGGGTATCTCGTGGGCCCCATACCCCATCAAGTCTCTAGTTTGCCTCCATTGCACCCTCTCACTCTTCACAGAACTGATATTTCTCTTCTGTGCTGTTTTGTAAATTCTGAGAGGATATTATACTTGTCAGTTCACTATCATGTTCTTAGTACCTAGAACTTCATCACCACCTAATAAGTCAGCACAAGTCATTGATTAATGAATGGAGGAAGAGGGTCTTGGGAAAACCTTAGTAATTTAACACAGTGACTCCAAACATTTCAAAGCCATGCATAGGCTGTTCTTAGCATTATGTTTCTTTGAGTGATTTGGACAAGATACAACTTTCCTGTCTTCCCTTGGCAATACACCTCATAATATCTTAAATAGCCTGGCAAAAGAATGATCTTTCATGTAGTTATAAGTTTCAGCTTCTTTTTGAAAATAAGACATCCTTGACCAGCGCCACGGCTCACTAGGCTAATCCTCCGCCTGTGGCGCCAGCACCCTGGGTTCTAGTCCCAGTTGAAACGCCAGATTCTGTCCCAGTTGCTCCTCTTCCAGTCCAGCTCTCTGCTGTGGCCCGGGAGTGCAGTGGAGGATGGCCCAGGTCCTTGGGCCCTGCACCCACTTGGGAGACCAGGAGGAAGCACCTGACTCCTGGCTTAAGATCGGCCACTTGGGGGGTGAACCAATGGAAAAAGGAAGACCTTTTTCTCTGTCTCTCTCTCTCTCTCACTGTCTGACTCTGCCTTCCAAAAAAAAAAAAAAAAAAAAAAAAAAAAAAAAAAAAAACCAAAAAAAAAGAAAGAAAATAAGGCACCCTTATTGCTTTACTTTTCAGTAAGAACTTCAAACATTCAAGGAAGATGGAATTAAAATATAATTCTGTTTCACAAATATTTTAAAGTTTCTTTTTATGCTTCAAATATTTTCATTACCTTTTTGAAGACCCTCATATGCATGGGTTTCAAAAATTTTTCATCAGAATAAATTTGTTTTTCGAGTCCCTTTCACATAAACTTTTTGAACTACACTTGTGTTTATGAGATAGTGATATTTTGATACATGTACATTGAAAATTGGGATCAGCTAGCATTTATACACCTTCAAACTAAAAAAAAAAACCACAAAACATAATTTTTTATATTTATAGAGTACAAACTATACATTCACTTGTGAGTTTCAAAAATCATGGCATAGGCCAGCGCCCTGACTCACTTGATTAATCCTCCACCTGCGGCGTCGGTACTCTGGGTTCTAGTCCCAGTTGGGTGCTGGATTCTGTCCAGCTCTCTGGCTGTGGCCCGGGAGTGCAGTGGAGGACGGCCTAAGTCCTTGGGCCCTGCACCCACTTGGGAGACCAGGAGGAAGCACCTGGCTCCTGGCTTTGGTATCATGGCGTGTACATCTTGTTTACATGATACCTTTAAATGTTTGTCAATTTGAAATGCTTATATTTTAAGTTATAGAGGAAATATCAGAACAGAACAGTTACATTTCATAACAATAAAATAATTCAGAAAACAAAATAATAATATAGTATCAAATCATGCTATCATTTATTCTTCTGAAAGATACTTGATCTTGCAGTAAGTCAATTTGTTCAAATCATCAATTTACCTTCAACATTTCAATTTGATTTTTAGGGGAAAAATCTTTCATTGCCACTATAAGCTCAGAAAATATCATTATTTATGGTCAGAGAAACACTGAAATTTTTCTCAACATAAAGTAATGTTGGACTGAGCAATGGAGGGTAAAATATTTGTCAATATAATACTCTATAATTAATTTGTACTTCTACCTTTAGATAGTGAGATTTGCCCTTGTTATGATAAATTTTGGAGAAAATTTTTCATTTCTTTTAGAAATTTTGGAAATTTTTATATATTAATAGCCAGCTTTTTTAAAAAAGATTTATTTATCTTATTTAAAAGGTGGAGTTAAAGAGTCAGAGGCAGAGAGAGAGCTAGATCTTTTATCCATTGGGTACTCTCCAAATGGCTGCAGTAGCCAGACCTGGGCTGATCCAAAGCTAGGAGCCCAGAGCTTCATCCAGGTCTCTCATGAGAATGCAGGAGCCCAAGTCCTGGGGCCATCTTCTACTGCTTTCTCACATCATAGCAGAGAGCTGGATTGGAAGTGGAGCACTGGTGTCCACATGGGATGTCAGCACTGCAGGTGACGGCTTTATCCTCTAAACCACCACAATGCCAGCCCCAATAGGTAGCATTTTTAAAGTGCTTAAAATTCGTAAGGCCTTCCAATACACAATTTACATTCCTCTTTGCTCCCTCAAGAAAGTTCACAGAAATGGCTGCTACTATGATTTCTGTTTTAGAAATGAGAGAAGCCAGACAGGATGTGAAAAAGCTTAGTGTTTATATGGTTAATGTATGAAACAGCCCAATGAACATATCATTTCAGATAATGTCATTAAATTATATCAATTTATTTTTCTGTGTTAATTGTACTTACAGTATTTTTCCCAATGAAGAACAAATCAAATAAAATGTAGTCCAAACTTTTATTTTAGAAAAGGAATTAAGCATATTTAATTATAGAATGTTTAAGTATAGAATAAAATTCTTTTATTTTTCTGTGTTGTTTCATCATGAATTGTAATACATCACATTCGTTTAAAAAAGAGAAAAAAAAAAAAAAACAGGATCTACTTCCTGAATAATTTCCCTTCTCCTCTTCAAGCAAACCTCTAACAACAGTATCTAGCAATTGCTTTAATTATATTAGCCTTTTTCAATACACGGTTTTTTTCATTTTTCCTATTCACTTAGTTATAAACAACAAAATGACCAAAAACTGAAATTAAAAAGAAAAATAATGGAGATAAATTATCAACCACTGAATCATCAAGGATTCATTATAAAATCATAAATCTTTGGCTAATGTAAATAGTCTATTTTCTATAGAAGAACTTTAGAAATAATAATGACTTTATTGCTGGAGCAACATCATTCATCCATGTACATAAAAATATAATTTTTGATATTAATAAAGCTGCCTATTCCATTACAAGATACATTGAATATTTAATAACTCACAACTTTAGTATATAGCTCTCAACAAAGATATACTTTGTCTCCTTTACAGAAAGATAAGGAAGATCAGTGGCTAGAGAAAAAGGTGCAAGGAAATAAAGACCATATTATTTTGGAGCATCTACAGTGGACGATGGGGTACGAAGTTCAAATTACAGCAGCCAATAGATTGGGATATTCTGAACCAACAGTTTATGAGTTCAGCATGCCACCTAAGCCAAATATTATTAAAGGTAAGCAAAACTATATCCTGTTTGAAGATAAAGAAGTTATCATCTTAAAACCCTTTTTTTCTTAAGAATTAAAATGTAATTCTATATGCTGAATATAAATTCCGGGTTCTCATCATGATCGCTGTATCATGTCAGACTCAAGCTTTCACAGTCTCATGAGCTAAGGTGCAAATGTGCTTTCACAGTTTTGGTGGTCAAAGTGGTGGAGAGAGTTAGCACAGGGAGAGCACAGGAGGCAGGAATGACGGATGAAAGTCAACATGAAAACGTATTTTGAGATCAGGAGAAACCTTTATAAATAAAACAACGTCTATGTCAATCATGTTGGTACAGGTTTTCCAATTCTAGTTAGTCTTGGCCAAAGACCATGATCAGTTAGCCCATTTATGCCTGATCAGGTAAATTGATTTTGAGAAAATAAAATCATCACACAGTGAGCCAGAAGCAGTGACAAATATTTCTTGGCAAAGAGGTATGCCTAGAATTCAAGGATACTCATAATGTGACAGGATATTTTTCCTTTTGCCAATTTACAGTGCTTGCAACATTATATTTTAGTATATTAGTAATATCATGAAAGTCTCCAGAAGGATATTAAGTTTTTTCAGATATATTCTATAGAAGTAAAAATACAATAATTCATCCTGGCACAAAACCATGTTTAACTCTGTTATTGAGATACCATTTTGTTCATATTTTGAAATTTATCTTTGTCCTAAATTTTACCTTTAATATGTAAATTTTGGGGAACTATGTGTGTATGTGTGTATGTGTATGTGTGTGTGTGTGTGTATTTTTGTATGAACTATTTCAAAAAATTGTGGACAAGAGGGACTAAAAGATGTTTATGTTTCTTTTGGTGCAACAATTTTTGAAATAAATGCATACTTTTTTCTTAATACATATTTCTATGAACCCTTTGAAAATAAATCATAAGTAAGAATTTTCTACTTTTGGGCAGTAAAACAAGCTTATCTTTGAAGTCTATTTTTCATTAATTTTTTGTAGTAGCCTCTTATCTTCCTTTCTTGTATACCTTTATAGAAAAGAAGGGAATAACATATTAACTTATAAAATTAGGGTCTAAGTCTATGTTTCTAAGTTTTGAAACTCAAAATAAAAGTTAGGAGTTCAGTCATGTTATTTAACCATCTTATAATTTCAACTTGAAATTAATGTCATTTTTATAAGATTTTCATATGAAACGTAAGTTTCTAAAATTGAAGTTTCATGTAATTAATAGTTCCATTAAAATAATTACTATTTGTTCTGACGTTGCCCCAGAGTTTATGTTGTACATGAAGCTTTAAACTATTTGTGTTTATAATATTAGTTAATAAACGCTACCAATTATAATTGGGAGTAAAAAGTTGGAAGCCTCTTGTAATAGTATGGATAGCTTTCTTTATAATGACATTTTTCTTATTGATTAACAGAGTACTTCTGCATTTAATATTTTATAATATTCTTAATTCTGAATTAAGAATAGGTTAAAGAAAAGGCTGTCCTCATTTTACAAATGCGATTTTCAGGGGTTAACTCTATTCAGGGTTAGAGCTACTTTAAGTCCCATGATAACACATATGCTCTTAGAGAAGATGCACTTACTTTAAGTAAGAGTGACCGAATGTGCCAGCTCCCAGTTCCATTGCCCAGGAGTGTAAAACATCAAGAACTACCTCAAAATTGTAATGCATAAGATTTGTAGTAATTATTCTCCATGCATGTGTCAAGAAGGTGATATAAGTATGATTTTCAAACTTAGATAAACATCAAAGGAGGATTACATGAATATACTCCATTCAGCTAAGCTTTTATTTGGCATATGTATTTGTAAGCTATATTGTTTTTATTAAGATAAAAATTAATAATCTATGAAAACACATGTTAATACTTTATAGTTAAAATACAAAAATCAGGAAATAGGTTTATGCAGGTTACTAATGAAAGAGTCCCAGAATCCCTGCTAAATTTATAAACAGTTGTTGAATGCAGAAGCCAACAAAGCTATAGAAAAAAAGACTGAAAAAAAAAGCTATAGAAAGAAAAGACAGAAAAAAGGTGAAAAAAATGAAAGGACTAGAATACATATAAAGACACAAAATCATCAAGACATGCTGTGATGCATTTACTGTAAAAAATGTTTTTCTTCTATTTGAGAAATTCTTGAGCTGAGAGTTTGCGGGCAAGATCTAAAAGGAAATAGGACAGAATTCTGATTTATAAGAGCATTTCCAGATTTTTTTTTTGTCACAAAACTTCTCTTGATACTTCTGAAGTTAATTTCTTTCAGCTCTGCAATGTTCCCATCCATTAACCTGTTCATTCCAGAATTTGTATAAGGATCTTGCTTTGTGACCAGTACTGAGATGAGTACACAACCTTCCTCTCTGAAAAGTACAGAACTGACCTCAGCACTTAAAACTTTCAAAAATCTGGGAAGTCAGATACTTAACTTGAATTACAGTAACTGAAAAATGACTATGACTAAAATAAGCATTCATGTGCTACTATGAGAGAGTTGCATGAAGGTACCTAGGTTAAGGGAGTCGTGTAGAAATTTCTGCAACTTTCCTATAGAAATCGATTTTTCCAAAGGAAATCTGCATGAATGAAACTTCCATATGAAGTGTGTTGCTCAGAAGTCTCTGGCAGCAACAAAGAGTTTGTTCTCTAGGGAATAGGAAAAGTGTCTGCATGGTGCTTAGACGTATGTGACTGCGGATAAGGCTAAAGAGAGATCTGCAACCCAGAGAATCCAAGGGCTCCAAAAACGTGCAGAATTTTAAAATACAAACTACACAGCAGTAGAAGATCATTTAAAGCAAGGGAATTATATGAATATATAGGCATTTTGGACAGATTATTCTTGCTTCTGTAGATAAGAGCAAATTATGGGCAAACAGGAATGTTTTAGAACAGTGATAGCAGTAGAAAAAGAAAAGAGTTAGTTTCAGGCACAGTATAGATGCAAACTAAGCCTGCTTTATAATAGACTGGATTCACTAGCTATTGATGCCATCAGGTTTCTTGCTAGGCAGATGGGCACTGCGGGTGACCTTTGTCAAGGTGAAGAATTTTATGGGAGGAAAAGGATTTGAAAAATGAGGATCAAAGAAAAGATTGGTTTTGCATTTATTCCATTTGAAATTGTGGATGAAAGATGAGGATATGGATGACTAGGTTATCAGGCTTGGAAACATATGAGGGGAATTTAAAAAGTTTGTGGGAAAATGAAATTAAGAGATAAGATTATTTTAGCACAGAAAATTTGAAACGTATGCAGCTTTCTCTTGTTCACAATCTTATATATATATATATGATATATATATATATATCTTTTTATATTATCTCATGCATTTCTTACATGCATTTCCATTAGCTTTTTTGAACAGCCCTCATACACTGAGTCTGTCAGTCTTACCAGGTACATGGTATTGAAACCTGTTTGAGGATAAAACCACTCAACAGATAATGCCTGAACTCTGAAAAAGTGTTGATCTGTGGGATACTTGTTGCTGTATCCCCAGCAACTCCAATGGTGACTACTGTAGCACTGATGTCCAAGGAGTACTTTTGGAATACTAAAGGGTAAAAATTAAGAACTGAGTCGCAAGGAACTGTAATAATATTCAGAGAGAAGGAAACACATTGCCCTATTTCCTGAAACTCCAGTGAGATTAACATGTTACAGAGTTAGTGGCAAAACAGGAGCATACAGTATCTTGGAAGTTAAGAGAAGGTCCTATTTCAAGAAGAAAAGATGTAAAGTGTCAAATGCTGCTGAGAGGAACTTAACAACAACGAATGAGAGGAAGCGCATTAATCACATGCAGATTTGCTGAAGTGCTTGGGAGAGAAATTAGGTAGGAATAGGCTAAGGATTTTTAATGAGTTTAGGAGATTTAGGATCCATTTTTATTTGATACATTGAATATGCTCTTCTATGAAGGTGAGCAAAGAAATAAAGGCAGCTGTTAAGATTTTTATGATGGAAAAGACCAGTGTGTGTTTTATACCTGATAAAGAAATCAAATAGTCTGGGAGCGGTCATATAGTCAGATAAATGAATACAGACAGAATGAAGAAGGTAGAACCTGACATTCATCTTGTTTTTCAAACTTGACAAAAAAGAAAAAGCATAAATCAGCACTAAGAAATACATTGCAAGAAATTTCAGTTAATTTGTATTTTTTTCATGATTTTCTAAATGAACCTCTGATGTCCTACAAAGAAATATTGTTTTAACAGCCTTTCTAAGTATACTAATTGCAATCTCTAAGTAATCCAATATTATCAGAAACACAGTGTTCAAATATGAAAATGTTCTTAGATAAATTTCATGGTTGTATTCAAATCTAAATTCTTAAGATTCTAGAAAGATGAGGAAATTGAGATCTAATTAATCAGATAGAGTTCCATTTTAATCTGGATTTCTCAGCTAAATCTTAATATTGATACTATATCCACTATATTTCTTTGACTTAACATGTAATGAAAATGTAAGTATATAAACTATTTTCATGATCTTTGGTTCTCAAAAAAAAAAAAAAAAAAAAGGTACAGTGACATCTGTCTGGAGTATGATGAAGTCCAGTTTGGTTAATGCTCCTCACTTGTATTCTTATTGCAATTTTCTGCTATGTGAATATATAATTTTAGGGTTTACTTCTTGTTGTTTCAATTATTATTAGAAATATAAGTTTTTGTTTAATGTGTTTTAAGAATTTGTGGTAGAAAAATTATCATCAAGCATTACAAAATGTAGTGAGCTAATATTTAAGTAGCATTGTGAACTTACCAATAGCACATTAGAATGACTGGTGATTTTTCCATTATAAATGTTATTTTCAACTTGTAAATGTAAAATGTTCACATTTAAAGAATTAATAACAGAATTAATGTCTGGGTAATGTGAAATAAACATGGTTAATGCTGACCATAATCTAAGTTTTTATTCTGTGACAATTATTTAGAAATGATTTATCTAATATTTTACT